CGCCTACTCACTGCGAAGTCCAGAGTGGCACCCACCAAAAAACAATCGTTACCCAAATTATAACTTTGCGGCGCTCTTTTTCTTGCTCGTCTTTTAGCAAAAATTAAACCAACAATTTCTAACAAATCTTTTAACATTTTTCTTTGGACAGACTCACAAATAGTATTACATTGGCTTAAGATGCATTCTGCAACACTTTCGACTTTTGTTGCTAGTCGAATTTCGGAAATTCAAGATTTAACCAAAGGCGCCTATTGGAGACATGTACCAACGCATTGTAACCCGACGGATGTTGCCTCTAGAGGATGTACTGTAAAGGAACTTGTTAATTCAATATGGTACACCGGACCAAAGTTTCTATACGAAAACTCAGATAAATGGCCAAAGAACAGCTGCGATGATATCGACATGGAAGTTGTCGATAGGGAGAAACGAAAATCAGCATTCAATACAATTGTAAGCACCACTTACATTTTGGAAATTGTGAATCAGCGGAGTAACTACACCAGCAGCCTTCGATTAATAGCTTGGATGTTCCGCTTCATCAATAAATTTCGACATGGAGCTAATCTTAATGACTCATTAACACTTTCACCACAAGAGTTACATGACGCCTTTCTTCGCATAATTTGGAATATTCAACACATACATTTCGCTAATGAAATTCATCTTTTACAGAAAAAGTACGTTATTTAAGTCCTTTTCTCGAGTATATCGAAGGATTTCAAATACTCAAAGTTGGAGGTCGATTGGAATCAGCAGATATTCCAGAAAAAAGGAAACACTCAATGCTGTTGCCAAACAAATGCGAATTTGTTGTGCATAACGTTCGTCATCTGCATCGGAAACACTACCATTCAGGACCAAAGGCACTCGTAGCACTGATAAGACTTCAGATTTGGATAGTAAATGCGCGCGATTTAGCAAGACGCATCGTCAGATCGTGCACATATTGTATACGCTACAAGCCAAAGCTGATGAACCAAGTAATGGGACAGTTACCTGTCAAGCGTTTAACTAAGCGTACATTGGGATCTTCGTTTGTCTAGCGACAAAGGCGGTTCACATCGAACTAGTATCGGATCTATCCACGGACGCATTCTTAGCGTCATTGAAGCGCATGATTGGAAGAAGAGGTATACCCTCTGACATCTCATCATCAACTAGCTGAATTAAAGTCATTTTAATTTAAACCGAAAACAAAGATGCAATTATAAAAAATTATGCTAATGAATTTATAAATTTCAATTTTATTCCTCCAAGAGCACCTCATTTCGGCGGTATTTGGAAGGCAGCAGTCAAATCGGCTAAGGGTCACCTCAACCGCACCATCAAAAATGCAAGACTCACAGCTGAGGAACTAACAACAGTCCTGGTTGAGATAGAAGCTGTATTAAATTCTCGTCCAATAACACCAATGTCGTCCAATAACACCATCGGATCCAAATGATTATGAAGTATTAACTCCGGGGTATTTTATTATTGATAGTTCACTTAGGGCACTCCCAGAGCGGAGATTGTCAGCTAACATCAACAACGTACAACGATGGAATTAGGTCACAAGCATTAAACAGATGTTTTGGAAAAGGTGGTCATATGAATACATCACCGAACTTCAAGTACGATCAAAGGGGTTTACGGAGCGACCAAACATCAACAACAACTCAATGGTTATCATCCATGAAGACAACTTACCACCACAAAAATGGAATATTGGAAGAGGTATAAACTGTATTCCAGGAAAGGACTCTAAAGTGCGTGTGGTGGACATTCGAACAACGAAGGGAATCATTCGGCGACCAATTCACAAGCTAGCCCTTCTACCTGTTTGAAATGCCTTTCAACGGGGCCGGGATGTTGGGTCACCGATTGAGAACCACTGCATTATACGGTCATATGTTCTATATATTTTTGCTATTTCTTGTTCTCTACTTATTTACCTAATATTCAAGGGCAAGCATTAGAAGTCATTCACCTCAATGCAGTTAATAATTGTATTTGCATTGTGTACATACTTACGTATTTATTGCTTGCTTGCGCTTGCTTTGTACACTTATGCTACAGCTATGTTTTCGTCCACGCAATTATATGAATATTTGTTTGTGCACTTTTAACATGTACTAAGCTTAATATGTAAGCAGCCTCTTGGAATGCTGCGTTCCCATTTTTATACTCTCGCAACCTGTTGCTACAGAGTATAATAGTTTTGTTCACCTAACGGTTGTTTGTATCACCTAAAACTAATCGAGTTAGATATATATAAATGATCAGGATGAAGAGACGAGTTGAATTTCGGGTGACTGTCTGTCCGTCCGTCCGTGCAAGCTCTAACTTGAGTAAAAATTGAGATATCTTTATGAAACTTGGTAGACATGTTTCTTGGTACCGTGAGACGGTTGGTATTGCAGATGGGCGTAATCGGACCACTGCCACGCCCACAAAACGCCATTTATCAAAAACAAATAACTTGCCATAACTAAGCTCCGCAATAAGATACAAGACTGTTATTTGGTACACAGGATCACATTAGGAAGGGGCATCTGCAGTTAAAACTTTTTTTAAAAAGTGGGCGTGGTCCCGCCTCTAATAGGTTTAATGTGCAAATCTCCTAAACCGCTAATGCTATAATAACAAAATTCACTAGAACCAAATGTTTTTAGCACTTCTATTGACGGTGTGAAAATAGTTGAAATCGGGTGGCAACTCCGCCCACTCCCCATATAACGGTACTGTTAAAAACTACTAAAAGCGCGATAAATCAAGCACTAAACACGCCAGAGACATTAAATTTTATCTCTGAGATGGTATAAATTGGGTTTATAGAAACCGCGTTCAAAATTAGTCAGTGGGCGTGGCACAGCCCACTTTTAGGTGAAAACCCATATCTTGAGATCTGCTCAACCGATTTCAACTAAATTCGGTGCATAACGTTCTTTTCATGTTTCTATGTCATAGTGCGAAAATGGGCGAAATTGGACTACAACCACGCTTACTTCTCATGTAACACCATTTTCAATTCCATCTGATTCTTTCACTTTCCACTATGCAAATCAGGTAACAATGATTATATCGGGGTAAAACTTTGCGTGAATAATGCAATTAAAGTATGCCACCTTGCGGCCAAAAATTGTCTAAATCGAACCAAAACTGTTCAAACCCCTAAGTACTAAATATGTGGACCCCAGTGCCTATAGTTGACCTTCTACCGAAAATATTAGTCAATCCACAAAGAAATCTCAAACGAGTATACCATTTGACTTTGCGAGAGTATAAAATGTTCGGTTACATCCGAACTTAGCCTTTCCTTACTTGTTTTATATTTGTCTTTTGTTAATAACTACATTATATACGAAGGAGCAATAGAGTAAAGTATGTACTTGGGTTATTCTCCTTTTATGAATTGTTTTTATATAACTTACATACTTATGTATATATGCATTAATAGAAAACGAAACTATGTACTTGGCGGAAATTATGTATTTAACGGTATTGCAATATTGCTTAGAATATTATTTAAGGAGAAGAATTTTGCAAATAAAGTTAGTCTAATAACTGACCACTCATAGCATCATTACTCGGCCCTTTGTATTTTATCGCTGTTACAACTTCGCTTTTTCGATATTTGCGCGGCTACAAAAAAAGCTTTGTAGCCCTACATATGTTATAATGGATTGGCTGGCGTGATTCCTTGAAAAAGTTTAAATAAAATACTTTGGCAAAAAATTTATTGAAGGATAGCTTTGGTTGTTCTTATTATTTTGGACACGTCTGTATACTCTCGATTAATTTCGCTCTTGCGTTCATACTTATGTATACATGTCTGTATTCGAAAAAATCAACAGACTCAATAACCGATATCTACGCCAACCAGAAGGACGGTCAAATGATAACAGTAGTATTGGGGTTTCAGGGTTCGGGCAAAGATTTTTCATTTTAATGTTACCTAATATAAATTTACTTATCGAAGTGTTTCATTTATGTTCTGTAACATATTTATATTCTGATGAAAAATTTAACTGATAAACCAAATCACGGTATAAATTCGTCATCTTATTTCCAGAAGTCTTGAGGAATTAAAGTCAAACAACAGCTTCGTCTCTTTTTTTAAGATACCTAAATGCATTAAATTGTAAGTGTTTATGGACGAAAGAACAATTTCTCGATTCAAGACATTAAAGTCATATGGTAACGTTATACAATATTGTACTACTTACCGATTTAAACAAAGTAAGATCGCTGAAATAACAGCCCTTGGGCGGATAAAATCCGTGTCAATATCGGAATCGTGGAACCGGTTGTGTTGAAATTGACAATTTTGTATTCTATCATATTCAACTAACACATAAAACAAAAATAAGTTTTTTGTTGTCTGGATATCTCAGCAAATTTTGACGTTTTCACGTGTACAGATTATGATATTATTCAAGAACGTATTTAATATGCTCTAGTTTTTATGATTAGTGCATATCTCATATTTAAACGCAATATTGGTTTGTTAGTAATAAAATTTATTTTTCCAGTTTTGATTACGGTTCTGCGCACTCAGTGAAATCAGTGATTAAATACATGATCATATTACGAATGATAAAGCAATTTTTCAAGGCGGTGAACGTAGCAGAATATTGTTTTAATTACATAAGAAAATTACCGAAAAGTTGTAAGGTAGAATGTTTCTCGAAAACGGAAATTAATTAAAGATAAAGATTTTATCAAGATTATGACCATAAAGAAATTATTATGAAACCATAAAGAACCAAATTATGAAAAAGTTGTGAAAAATATGCTGACGAACTTTCAGACTCTATTACAGATAATCCAGAAAATTATAGTGACGAATAGAGAAAGCAGTTTCACCATGATTTAAAAGTGAAGGAAGAAATGTATCAAGGTTGACGGTATTATCACGGGATAGCAGATTATTGCTGGTCCTCGGAGATTGTCAACCGGAAAATTTTAAAAGAAATCTTCTTACAATGAGTTATATTGAAATATAGCATATGTTTTCAATATTTGTTTCTCTTGTTACTTCGATATATCCTATTTTCTTTAACCAAATCCGACATAATAAATTTATCTGCTATTTTGTTTCATGTTTTAATGTATTTAAAAATAAATCAGAGCAAATCTTACAAAATCTTTGACAGTTATATTAATATATAATATAAAATATATAGAAAATCGGTCTTATCTATAGGGCAACAAAAGCACAGTAATATATATATAATTGATACTTACAAGATGATTTGCTTCCATTCAAGTACCCCTTTTGTTTCAAGTTTTCTTCTTCAACCCGAACAAAAGAAACCATAACATAGCCCACGGCAAACATAAATATAATTGTTCCCAGCAGAGATATAAAAGCTAATACATGTTCCTTCTCCAAGTTGTCAATCAAATATTCACTTGTAAACGCGATCTTGGATAACCATTTGTTGATTAAGCTTTGTGCATGTTCGTCAAAGAGATTCTGCAAGAAATGTTATTAAATTGTAAATGATAATAATATTGCTACACAACTATGTCTATATCTCTTTTATACTATTTAAACATTTAATCTAAAATAAGAAACGTAGAATTATTTGGTTTTGTAATAAATCTTATTTATGATTAATAAACAATAAATTCGTACATTTCGGGTATATTTTTACTTTGTTAAAAACGCTGTGTTGAGTGCTCCCAGTAATTGCGTTAGTTTAATTTTTTCATCTTTTCAATTTTATGATATAATTATAATCGAAGCGTTTTTGAAATAAATCTTATTAATAATTCATAAACAATAAATTTTTAATTCGAAAATTTCGGTTATATTATTACTTTGTTAAAAACGCTCGAGCGGTGAGTTTTCCCAGTAATTGGGTTAGATTCTTATATAGTTACTTTTACACATATATTTAAATATTTAAAATATGTGTGATCGATATATTATATATGTATATGTGAATGCAATGCTTCTAAGTATTTCATATGCACGATTAAGTAAAATATATTCTTATCCAACCAATATATTAAAAGAAGTGTTTAATTATACATGTAAACATATATACATATATGAACTCGCGAAGTTGGCTCCCCACGAAGCGATTCATGATAGTTAGATAGTAATGTTAGTATGCATGTTTGTGTGTTTAAACATATTATATGTGCAATTTGTGCTCTCTTGTTGTTACAGAGTCGCATTGGAAACGGACTTACTTTTAAAACTAATTTAATACATACTAATTTAAATTCATAAAAACTAGTTTAAATTCATTAACTCGACAAAATGTAAGTGCTTTGTTTTCAAAAGAATTTTTTGTTAGTATATCAGCTATCATATTTTCGGTTGAAATGTACTTTGACTCTATGTCACCATTCTGGACAACATCTCGGACGAAGGGATATCTGATGTCTATGTGTTTTGACCTGTTATGGTAAGCTGGATTCGTTGCGAGATTCCGTGCGCTGAGATTGTCACCATACAATGTAGTTGATGTGCAAGCCTTACCACAAACAGTTTCAATAATGAGGCGTCTCAAGTGCAACGATTCTTTGGCCGCGGGCGATAGGGCCATATACTCAGCTTCCTACTGCTAAGGGACACGGAGCTCTGTTTTTCCGACTTCTACGAGATTGGTCCACCTGCCTAGACGAACACGTACCCGGTATATGAACGACGATTACTCATATCACCTCCCCAGTCTGCGTCTACGAAACCTTCAATCGCCTGCCCACAACCGCGGTAATTCAGTTTCAAGTCTTTTGTTGCTGCTAGATATCGCAATACATGCTTCACCCCTATGAGATATTCGGTGTGGGGATTTATGTTCCTTTGTGCTAATTTCACAACCGAATGGTAAATATCTGGCCTGGAAGTCAAAGCTAACCACATCAATTCGCCGATTGCAGACTGATATGCCGTTGCATCCACTTCCACGCACGTTTTTCAACGCACGCAACCTGATATCCCTTATCCAAGGGCGTCTTTGTTACCCTACATTGCTGCATGTTGTGGCGTTGTAGCATATCCTCTATGTAAGGAAACTGGTTCATTGAAATATCGCCTGTGCCGCCATCGCGCTGAATTTGCATACCCAATAACATCTGCAGTGGGCTATTATCAACGCAATCAAACTTGATTGAAATTATTGTCTCTTCTTCTGGCACGCTATAAGTAAATCATCTACATAGATTAATAATAAAGAAAGCCTACCTTCTATGTATTGTTTATACAAGAACGGTTTATTCTGGCATTGAGAAAAACCAATTTCACACAACGCCGTGTTTTATTTGAAGTTCCACTTCCTTCTTGCATGCTTTAAACTGTAAATCGCTTTGTTCAATCGTAACACTTTTTTGCCAAACGTTCTGTCTACATACCCCTCAGGCTGCTCCATGTAGATCACGTCTTTTAACTCGCTGTTAAGATAAGCCGTACAAACGTCCATTTGAAGCGAGTGTAATTTCAGCTCGATAGAAAGCCCGAGAACTAAGCGTATCTTTTCATATCGACACACCGGAGATAATGTTTCATTGTAGTTAACGCCGAACTTCTGCGCACACCCCCCTTAGTTACCAAGCGTGCTTTGTACCGCTCAACTATGCCATTCTTACTTCTTTTAGCTGTGTAAACCTATTTACACCCAATTGCTTGCTTACCCTTGAGTAAATTTGCCACAGTCCACGTGCCATTTGCCACCAAGGCTTCATAGTCCATAGCCGCATGCCAGTAAGAAGCATACTTGTTGTCAGTTGCCTCTTTTAATGTCTGTGGCAATGGTATATCTATATACTGCACTGCGTGTATAACGTGTAAGCTCTTCCTCGGACGTCCTGGCATACCGCTCCGAACAATTCTCGGTCTACCTGATCCTATCTTACGCTTCTGCTCTAGCTCTGACTCATCTGGACTAAATATTTCTATGTTACAACTTGAATCAGCTTAAAAAATTTCTGTCAAAGACAATTTGGACATCTGGCTGGGGTTCGTTGAAATGTTGGTAGAACAAAACATTCCGTTTTTCTTTAATTTGACGCTTTTCTTGATCGTAGTGTCCAACGATTAGGTATTCGGTACTCTTTACCTTTCGCTTGAAATTTGTTTTTACGTGTTTTGTCTAAGCCAACAACCACTGACCCGAATGTACACATACTTTTTACGTTCGGTTTTCTACCACTCCATGCTTCATATGGTGTCAGGCCAATCAACGCTGCAGTTGGCGATCTGTTGCGAATATAGCACGCTGTCTGTACGGTCTCTGCCCATAGAAACTTTGGCAAATTTGAGTGAACAAGTAAACTTCTCGCTATCTCAACAAAAGTGCGATTAACTCGTTCTGCAGCGCCGTTCAGTTGACGCATTATGCCCTGTTGCTTTAGAAAGTCATCAAAACGCTTATTGATGTATTCCCGGCCGTTGTCGCTCCGTAAGACCTTGATTTTCTGCCCAGATTGACACTCGACCATTTTCTTGAAAGTTACGAAATTGTCAAACACCTCATCCTTTGACTTGAGAAAATTTATGAAAGTCGGAAAATATGATGAGCCACCCAGAGAGCGCTTTTCAAATGAACCACATACGTCGATATGCAGCTCCAACAATTGTTTGGCTCGCTTTTTCGACGTCATTTTAAACGGTTGAGTGTGGATTTTACTTTTCATACACGTTTTACACTGCGTACTGTCTGAGAACTTCACATTTTCTATGCCAAACACCAACAACAACATTTTATTTTTTGTAAGCTTCATCAGAATGCCATAATTTAAGTGGTCATATCTATTATGCCATATTTCTGCACTGCACTGCGCTGCACCAAAACACGTGTTGTTAATACACTCAAATACAAACAATTTTTTTTTCTCTGCTTTTTAAATTTGACACGAAATGCCCCTTCATTTGCGGGATATACAATACGTTCTCCAACCTTAGCTCACACAAATCGGTTTGAACTACAAAGTCGCCTCTGCCTACTGCACTGTAAAATTGTTGTCGGCCAGCACAACATCCTCTGATTGTGATACATAATTTATAAAAAGATTACGTGAGCCACCCATATGTGCCGTCGCGCCGCTGTCCAGGTACCCTCTCGCTTGTTTTAGATCACATACAAACTGTAAACGATCTATGTTGTTATTGCGATTCTGCCGATTTCCCTTTGACTCTATTTCTGCATTGATTTCTGTAGTAACCTCATTGACCACATTTATAACATTTAATATGACTATTCTCCTCACGCTTTTTCTCTTTTGCTGTTGTTGCTTGAAATGCCTGTTGTTCACTGTAATGTTCCGTTTTATATGTACTGCCTCTGCGATCTCTTTCCTCTAGTAACTTTATTTTTAATATCTCAAGCGAAGGCAGACTATCGCGTGTTTCCATGGCTACAACGAAATTTTCATAACTTTTGGGCAAGCTTGAAATCAATATTATTACTGCCAGCTCTTTACTAAGCTTAATGTCAACCTCCGAGAGCTTGTCAATTGCTGAACAAAATTTATTTATATAGCTGAGCTTAACGTCGCCTTCTACTTTTCTTACTGGCCTACCGGGTTGATGCACCTCTTTTAGCTTTCTCCAGGCACTAGCTGAAGTTGTGCAGTTCTTTAAATAGCACAATTGCGATGGCTTCACACTCAATGTCATCATGGCCAATGATTTGTTATCAAGCGCATCCCAGTTCTCTCTGTCTGCTGCGCATTTGGATGCTATCTTCATGTAATTTCTTAATCTGGTACATGGAACCTCATTGCGCACGCGTATCTTGTTTGATTCTTTAATGAATACTAGTATATCGGACTTTAAATAAAAAAATAAATCGCGCTCAAATGTGCAATTTGTGCTTTCTTGTTGTTACAGAGTCGTATTGGAAATGGACTTACTTTTAACAACAATACGGGCCTACCTCACAATATAAACTTACAACTCAAGACGTGCGTAATAAGAAATAATGTAACCCATAACACTCTGACGGACTGACTTGTAACTTTAAGGGGGTATTCTGGTTTAGAAATAAAAAAAAATCGATTTTTTTTTCATATTTTTGTAGTATAAATCTTAAACAATATGTTCCTCAAAAATTTTTTTTCAATTATTTTTGGAGTTTCCGCTCATTTCGTGATGCGCCGACACAATCGACTGGCTGCTCGGCGCGAGCTTTAAATTCGTTTTTCTCTGAGCTACTTTTTTAGAAACGGTGCGCATGATATCTTAAGTTCTACTCAATCGATTTACTTAAACTTTTATACAGAGCTTCTTCATACATTATAATATCGCACTGCGAGAGGATTTTCAAAAAAGGAATTTTTTACATTATTTAAAAATTCCGAACGGCAAAAAAAGGGAAATAACGAAACATATTTTTCAAACTGCCGCCATTATGTGAAAAAAATATTTTTTTTCCAAATCCTCTCGTAGTGTTATAAACAAACCTTTTCTCTTTAAGGATTTCCATTTCAAGTTAGTTTCAAGTTTGAAGGGAGTCATAATATCCT